GCTAATCAACTCAGTTGGCCTGTCGACCAATGGGCCACACTTCTCAGAGTCCATCTTACAGGTAGAGCTGCAGTCACACTCAGTACTTTGGCGTCTGAGAATGACTACTACACTCTGAAACAAGCAGTGTTGGACGCCTACCTACTTTCTACTGAAAGTTATAGAAGGAAATTCCGTGACCACCTGAAGGCAAGTACCACTACCTTCCTCGAGTTTGCTAACACGAAACGGAGGTATTTCATGAAATGGCTGGAAGCAGCACATGTCTCTACTTTTACAGAACTCGTCAACCTGATGCTTGTTGAAGAATTCTTGAGACGTGTGCCGCCTCCTGTCCGCCTCTACTTAGCAGATAAAGAAGAAACCGACTACCTGAAGTGTGCTAAGTCGGCTGACACTTACAGCCTCATCCACCGGCTGACACCTGAACCATCCTCCAGTAAGAAGTCGTGGTACAGTTACGAGAAGGTGAGCCCCGATCAAGCTGGTTCACAACTGTACTGCAAGTATTGTAGACTCTATGGACATACCATAGACAAGTGTGGTAAGTCTCAATACAAGGGAACCACTGACCAACAACGACCCAAACCAACTCCTCCTAAGTCCGGTAAGCCTGTGATGAATGTTGGTGTTGATGTTAATGATCTTTCTCTTTTCAGTAACCACCTGTATACTGGAACTGTCTCTGCCAACGGTTCAAATCCGGAGGGACGTTTCAAATTGAAGATCTTGAGGGACACAGCGGCTCTACAATCGATCATCTTGAAGTCGGCTGTGCCCAACATAGTCTACACCGGGGAAACAGTCTTCATCACTGACCTCACTGCTACCACTCCATACCCTCTCGCCAGAGTCCACCTGGATTGTCCCTACGTGAACGGGGAAGTCCAAGTCGCCGTCAGGGAAAAGCCTTTTCCCATGCCTGGAGTGCAACTTCTCCTAGGCAACGACTTGGCAGAAGACCTGCAACCGACCAACCTGATCGTCATGGACAAACCCCAGGTGTGTAACTCTGTGCCCAGAAACCCTATTCTTGAGTATGTTCCAGCAGAGGTTCAAGAGAGTGATGAAGTTTCTCCTCCGGTTCTCGTGACCACCCGTGCACAAGCCGCACGTCCACAGCCAGCTGACTCTACAACTACCGCTGTCCCTCAAGATCCTCAGAAACTACCCCCGCATCTGACCAAGTTGGAGTTCCGTAAGTTGCAGAGGGAAGATCTTACTTTAACACCATTGTTTTTCCAGGCTGAGACTCAACCCGACAGTATTCCTGGGTTCTTCCTAGAGAACGACTTGCTCTACCGCAGATATAGACCCAGTAAACTGAAGGAGGAGGACGATTGGGCCAACATCGAACAACTTGTGATTCCCACCAGCCTGCGGCCCACTATTCTACACCTGGCCCACGGAGCATTCTCCCACTACGGCTTCAACAAGACTTACCATGGGATTCGCCAAGACTACTACTGGCCAGGTATGGTAAATAACGTCAAACAGTACGTAAAACAGTGTCATACATGTCAGATGGCAGGCAAACCGAACGTCTCCATTCCCAGAGCACCACTGATTCCCATACAGGTGCCTGCGGAACCTTTCCACAGACTCATAATAGACTGTGTTGGTCCTTTACCTCGGACCAGTTCAGGTAACGCCTACATCCTAACCATCCTGTGTCCTACCACCAGATTTCCCATAGCAGTTCCAGTGAAGAACATCACGGCTGCTACGGTTATCAAACATCTATTGAAGATCTTCACTCAATACGGATTTCCCAGGGAGATTCAAAGTGACTGTGGCACCAACTTCACCAGTGATCTCTTCAAAAGGACACTGGAGGAGTTCAACATCAAACAGGTATTGTCCAGCCCCTATCATCCTGCTTCACAGGGTTCTCTTGAACGTAGTCATCAGACCATCAAAGCACTCTTGAAAAAGTTTTGTAGTGAAACCTCAAAGGATTGGGATAAGCAGATTGACCTAATAATGTGTATTTTCAGAAGTCTCCCCAATGAGTCCCTAGGAGTATCTCCTTATGAGATGCTCTACGGCCGTAAGTGCCGTACTCCCCTTAAGGCTTTCAAAGACTCTCTAAGAGATGCCACCTTCAGTGAGCATCAGAATGTGCCCCAGTTTCTTCAAAACCTTCAACACATTCTAGAGAGAGTCCACCGCTTTGCCCATGATAATCTATTGAAAGCCCAGGTGAGAATGAAGACTCATTACGACCAGACCAGCAAAGTAAGAAAATTCAAGCCGGGAGACTTCGTCCTTGCCTATTTCCCTATCCCAGGTTCACCTTTACAAAACAGATTTTCAGGACCCTACTGCGTCAAAGAGTGCAGAAGCAACAACACATACGTCATAGAGACTCCAGATAGGCGGCGGAAGACCCAGCTGTGCCACGTCAACCTCCTGAAGCAATATAATGGTACTCCTCCCACTGTCTTGATTAATTGTTCTACCTTCACAGAACCCTACATCCACAGTGAGACCATCCCGGCTTCTTCTCCCGAAAGCACTGACAAGGAGTCGGCGCTTTCTAATTCCAAAATCCTTAATGATCTTCCCAAATGCTTTCAGGATAATACTCGTGCTCCTATGCCCTCTTCTAATTCCACTCTCACCTCGTCAGATAAGCCCTACATCCTCCATGTCGACGCCAATGGTACCGACGTTGGTGGTGTCGTGATGCAGCAACGAGGCGAGAAGAATTCACCTGTCAGCGACTACTGCTACAAGGAACGACGGAACAATTGGCAAGGAGCTACTCTTCCTCATCCTGAAGCTTCAGCACTTCACTCCACACCTGAAAAGTGCTCGGTCCACCATCAATACGGACCACACCACCCTACACCTCCTGCAGCACGCCCACTTCTCATCTCAACGTCTTCTACTATGGGCTTGCTAACTGCAGAAATTCAACCTGGAGACACGCTATACCAAGAGTCTGACAACATCTTAGCCCATGATCTCTCCAGAGTTTATGAAGTAGAAGCAACTCCATCCATTACTCCACCACATAACGACGTACTTCTTCCAGAACCGCAGGCTTCGGGGGAGAGTTGTGACAATAATCTCCTTCAAGAGATTGAGCCTGCTCTTCCCTCCATAATTACGTCTTCACAATTATATAAAAAGACTATGGAAGAGATGTCCAACAACGACAACAACACCAGCAAGGCTTGCCAGGGTGAGCAAAAACGTATGCAGCCAGCCACCTGTTCGAACTCCAACCACCAAACTACCCGTTGATCGCTACGGCTCCGCTGATTGGTCGCCGGTCTGGCTGCACCTGCCTCGCCCCCCCCAATACTACCTGATGTCTGGGGTCGCCCCAACATCAGTCCTCAGAATGTTCAGTGCTTTCGTGGCCAGCACTCCTCCCAGCTAGACGTTAGCGTGTACTGAGAGAGGTGGTGGCTTTAAGCCAATATTCCAGCACCTCCCACTTAACTTTTGTGTTGCACTTCTTGTTATTTTGCCTTAACGTAACTTTTCATTGTGTCATTTAATTATTCTTATTATTTTGATTGATTTTATTATAAGAATTTGTTTGTGCATTATTTTCATGTTTTGATTTATTTAACGTCATTAAAATTTCATTGTTAAAGTTTTACTTGTGTTTTGTGTCTTCTCCTTACCTTACCACAGACGAAGTTCCAGTTTTTCTATTTTTTTTTATATAACTATGTGACGAGGCCATACCCCTAGCCTTAAACAGCCGAACACCAACGCGTTACCGTCACAATATATATACAGTGTATATATATATATATATATATATATATATATATATATATATATATATATATATATATATATATATATATATATATATATATATATATACACACACACATACATACATACATACATACAGTGACACGTTGGCTTACGAATGCTGCCATTTATGAACTTTTTGGGTTACGAGCTCAATTTCTTAATAAAATCCGAATCATGTTACGAATTTTGCCTCGGGTAACGTTGTTTGTTTATACGCGTACGGCCATCCTAGCGTGTGGTGGCACAGCGACCGCGCCTCAGTTTACCAGTGTCTCCCTCACTGGTAAACTGAGTGTGGGAAGCACTGGTGACAATCGTGCCTGAATTATTTGTTAAGAATTTCAGTGTTTTTTCGGATTTTTGGGTATCTGAACATAAAAGTAATTATTTTATATCTCGCCATGGGTCCCAAGAAAGTCAGTGGTAAAGTTCAGCCTAAGAAAATAGTTTTGAGTAGAGGCAGTAGAGGATGTGTCTTCCTCATTAAGAAAATGTGTGAAATATAGGAAGAACTTCAAAGTTTGTTGGAAAAAAACTCACCCAGATAAAGCCATTGCATTGACCTTTTAAATGACAATGTGATCTTAATACAAACAAGTGTTAAAATGAAGGGGAAAACAAGTGTCTTTAGAAAGATTCTTAGTAAGACAAGCAAGCAGTGAGCCACAACCAGGTCCTAGTGGTACTCCTGCAAAACATAGAAGAGTGTGTAACATCTCCTGGGTTCCAAACACTAACACTTCTCCTCACTTTCCCCCCCCCCCTCTCCCTCCTCACTGTCTTCCATATGCTAACAAGTCATCAATAAAGATAAGCAATAGTTTGTAATACTTTAGTACTAAAGATTTGGGTGAATTAGGTATAAAATTTATTTTGAAGTTATTATTTTTTGGAGTATGGAACGGATTAATTAAATTTACATTATTTCTTATGGGAAAATTCGCTTCGGTTTACAAATTTTTGGGTTATGAACCGTCTCTGGGAATGGATTAAATTTGTAAGCTGAGGTACTACCGTATATATATATATGGAAAAGTTGTCTTTGTCTATTGTATAAAGTTACTAACAAAATATTTCATTTAGGAAACTAAGAATTCTATAAGAATATGAACTTTTTGTTTGACAATGGGAATGTTTGGAGAATATAGCTAGATTCCCCAAGCATAGGTCAAGATGTTTTATCTTCAGGATATAATAAATAAAACTTCCAAGCTTACATGGCTTTAGTCTAGTGTTTTGAGGGTGAGCAGGAGCGTCAGCAATCACTCCCTGGATGCGATGACCTCTCACCTTGCCAGCTCGGTGCTCACGAAGGAGTGCCAACCTCTCCCATTGCATACAGCCTTTCACTTGCTCACTAAGTAGAGTCTGTAATTGAGCCATGATTAATTAAATAATCTAAATATCATGCACTGAATGTAGTAGAACTTTTTTCTAATGATCAAAAACAACCTTTCACTTGCTCACTAAGTAGAGTCTGTAAATGAGCCATGATTAATTAAATATTCTAAATATCATGCACTGAATGTAGTAGAACTTTTTTCTAATGATCAAAAACAACCTTTCACTTGCTCACTAAGTAGAGTCTGTAAATGAGCCATGATTAATTAAATAATCTAAATATCATTCACTGAATGTAGTAAAACTTTGTTCTAATGGGGCCAATCAGTATCTTACAAAGCAATAGTACTGGGACTACCAAGTTTTGGAAAATCCCTGCAGAACTTGCCATAGCTTACCAGAAGCCTAGAAGGCAACGAGAGCTTAGGGGATCAGAGATCAATGCAAAACTGAAAAAAGACTCACCAGAAATATATGTACATATACAAATATAAATGTTTATTCAAAAGAATGTGCATACAAAGAACAAAAGAGTATTGTGCAATTGTAGAGACAGTAGTTACACAATCTATGAAGGTACTATTATGCAAAGAGTTTTGGGCAAAAAAACCAGCGTTGAATGTAATTAAACGCAATTTTCTGGTTGAGACCCAGAGGCTCCCTGGAGCTATTAGGGGTTATATGAATATATTACACCCTGGCATCAGTCAAGTGCAAGGAGTTTTAGGTCTACCAGGGACCTCGAGCCAGGACCTGGCCCCCTCAGAGAGGCACGAGGAGCAATGGCTTATAGAAACCCCCTGTGTGATTGAAAGCATTCTATGTCTGCCATTGACCGGGTCAGGCATCCAGAAAGGTAGGTACTCTAAAACGAACCCCTATTCTGGTGAAAATATTGCTACTGAAAGCCAAACTAGTGGAGAGAACTCCCCAATTGAAAACGAGCAAGCGAGCATGATGTCACTATGTTACCGCTCTGCTGTCTATGGAACCCCCCCAACCCCAGGAGGGGGAAGGGGAAGCCGCAGACCCTCACACTGGCTATCCACTCTGCAGTTCTGGGGCTGGATGTCATAAATCACAAAGAGTAAAACCGCTGACCGGAGGGAGGGAGGGATGCCGGTTAGCCTCCAGGTCTCACCCAGAAAATGGTGTTTCATTACATTGAATGCCAATTTTCTGGAGGGAGCCCTGCTGGCTCCCTAGAGCTATGTATCCAAAGACAAAAGCAAGAGGGACTTACCCAGGAGGTGGCTGACCCTCGCTCCTCAATGCGAAGTCGAGACAGCTGGCTGCAACCGCCAACCCAATGTGACACAGGCCTGACTAGGCCCAGGAACGTTGTCAAGGTAGCGAGCAGCCAGACCTCTGTTCGACCTCCAAAAACCCCGTGCCCGAATGTCAGCCCAAGACATGTTACCGAAGACGACAGCCAGTGCAGCAAACTTATGAACATCGTGGGCACGAGGATATAGACTGCAGGCTGTCTAGACCGAATAACTCTAAGGATGACCAGGGAGATCCAATCCCTGGAACAGGAAAGAAGGGAAACTGGGTCAACCCAAAACCCAAAGCTCATCCCCGGCCACCAAAGCCGTGGCTCACAGGTAATAGCGGAGAGCCGTAACCGGACACAACACATGATGCACCCCCAGCCTGACCAACCAAGCATCAACAACCCAAGGACCCCTCTGGAATGCAACAATCTCATTCTTCACCAGAAAAGAAGGAGACCGCTGCAACCGAACAAACCTACCACTAGGACCAAAAGAACAGGAAACCTCTTTTATGAAACCTGGAATATGAAACTTTCAGGAAACCTGAAATATGCTGGAGCTCCTCTGATGCAAGTGTTGACCCTAGGGGGTGTCACCTTTGGAATGTCCTGGAATGTCCCGGGTAGTGCGGGTCTCGCGCGCGTGGTGTGCTAAAGTATTAAGAAGAAGGTTTTGGTGGTTGACAGTGTCAAAAGCCTTACGTAGGTCCACAAATAACCCAACAGGGAACTCATTTTTATCAAGAGCTGTATGTATCAAGTTAATCATACTAATAAGTGCATCGTTAGTGCTTTTTTTTGGGGTCTGAAGCCATATTGACAAGAGCTAAGTATATTAGCTGCTTGTAGATTAGTTTTTCAAATATTTTTGACAAGTTTGGTAGAATTGATATAGGTCTGAAGTTCTTGACATCAGTGGGATGATCATGTTTGTGGACAGGGGTTACTCTCGCTTTTTTTAGAATATCTGGAAAGGTTTGGAGTTCAAGTGACTTGTTGAAGAGCAATGCAATGGCAGGAGCTAAAGATCTGGAGGCTTTTTTGTAAATAAGAGTTGGTATCTCCTCAAGGGCACTAGACTTGGTTTTAAGGGAAAGGATTATGTCAGTAACACCAGTGGAATTAGTAGGCATTAGGTACAGAGACTGTGGATAGTTACCTGTAATATAGTCCTGAATATTAGTACTGGAAGATGGAATATCATTTGCAAGGGATGACCCAATGGATGAGAAGAACCTATTGAACTCAATAGCAGTATCAGAGGCTGAAAGCAGACCATCGTTATTTGACAATAGTGTTGGTTTGTTATTTAAAATCTTCTTTGATCCTAATATTTGTGAAATTGTGCTCCATGTTTTCTTAATGTTGCCCTTTGTGTGGGTAAATTTATCTTCGTAGTATTTAATTTTGGCTCTTCTAATTATTTAGAAGGACCAATGGACCACAATGACTACTCTCCTGTGGAATGACTCCAACTGAGCCAGAACCCGAAGCAATAGCTGGACCGGGTGGAAGAGGTACAGGTAATTCCATCTCGAGCTGTCCTGTCAAAAGGCGTCCACTGCAATAGCCTTGCAGTGAGGGAAGGGCGCCACATAGACTGGGAGATGCCGAGACCATGCTGGCAGGATGTTGGACACGCCCCAGACATGAACCACACGGAGAGCCAAATCCCAAGAAGCCACTCGAAGAGACCAGTCCCAAAGAGGCAAGGACCAAAGAGAACTCCCATGGTTCAGGCAATGAACCTCTGGAAAACAGTCCGAATGGAGCTGGATGGTCAAACCCTGAGGGACCCGAACCCTCTGAAGCAACAGGCAAACCACCGCAAACTCCCGCACCATATTGTGAGCACTGGTCACAGCGTCCGTGAACACATCGAGCGAGGGCTCAGGTAGGTGCCAAGGCACTGAACCATGAAAAACCCGAAGAGGAAACCGGCAATGCAGCAGCTGACACAAGGCCCCCTGGAGGTCGAACCCAGCGATCGTGAGAGAGGCAGAAGGGACATCCCCAAAGGAACCAGAACAGCCGATGAAGCCAAACCCAACCCGGCGGGTAGACCATCATCGCAAAGTTCAGGCTCCTGCACAGACCCTTGAGCAACCGCCGACGTGACCCAGCCCCCCTCCCCCGAAACAAGCCCATGTAGGGCCACAGCCGAAGGAGAGACTCCAGAGGGAGAGACAAGGAAGCGGTCCGAGAGTCCCACACAAGACCCAGTCAAGTTCAAACCTGGGAGGGGACCAGGTGGGACTTCCACCAGTTCACCAGGAACCCGAACCTGGCAAGCTGGGAAAGATCCAAATCTTTGGTGAGCAGACATACGGATCAGCTGGGAGCCCTAGACCAGTCAGTCTTCGAGATAGGCCAACACCCAAACACCTAATAGACGCAGACGGGCCACCACAACCTGGGTGAGGCATGTGAACACGCGAGGAGCCAGATTCAACCCGAATCGGAGACAACGAAAGCAGTAATCAAGACGCCCCACAAGAAATCAAAGCCAGTCCCTGAACCCCAGATGAATCAAGACGTGCCAATATGTGTCCTTGAGGTCCAGGGACACCATGCAAGAGCCCGACTCCAACAGAAGCCAGACCTGGGACAGAGTGGTCATCCGAAAGCAGGGGCAAGAAACCCAGGGGTTCAGACGGGACAAATCCGGAATGAACCGTAGCTCCGCACAGTCCCGTTTTGGTACTGGAAACAGGCGGGAAACCTACCTGAGAGACATCGTCGTTTCGACCACGCCCAAGCTCACCCACTCTGAGATGACCCTACAGAGCACAGGAGAAGAGGTCTTGCCCTGCCAGCCCCAAACCCCCCAGAGGAGGAGGGGCCACCTTACACCGCCACAGACCGCATGAAAAGACCCGAAAAGCCCGCAAATCATGAGACCAGGTGCGAGCGAACAGAGCAAGCCTCCCCCCATCGCCCAGTCAAAGAGCAATCACTGCACTGACCAGACGCAGACGGAACCAAAGGCAGCACTGCTTCCAAACCTGGCACCTGTGGCCTACCCCGATGAGCGGAACCCCGAACCCTGGTATGACCCTTCCGGGAAGAACCCCCCTGGGACCCCCGAGAACCAACTAGTCGGACATTGGACGAAGAAGAAGCCGCATGCAAATACCGCTCAACCACAGAGTCCACAAACAGTAAGGGACAAATGAGCGAAGAAAACCAGAGCCAGGGCCCAAGCAGATTCCAAGGAGGAGGCGAGCACAACCTGCCGACACGCGAGACGTGCAGCAAACAACCATGACACTGCATCCTTCAAGATCGGCACAAACAGTTTCTGCAGTTCCGATGAAGCACGAGCAGCCGAGACCAAGGTACCAGACCCGGGAATGGCCCGAAGCGCCTCTATATTCTCTGCAAGCCAATCTAAATTCAGCTAAAGGAGGGAAAAGAAAAGCAAGACCGAAGCCAACAAGCCACTAGTGTGCAAGTCCTCAGTCACAAGCGCAGTCGACCGGGAGGGAACCTGCACGTGAAGCTGAATCGCACCCACATCCCGCAGAAGGGCAGGGGCGAACAAGCAAGTATTAAGGTGCTCAAATTTGCCCCCAGGTAAACCTGGACCACCGTCAACCTCATAAACCTGGAACCTCATAACGAACCCAGTATGGAGACGAAGAAGGAAGACGGATCCATTATGGAGGCATAATCCGGGTTGCGCAGAAGGTAAGCTGCAATAGCCACCTGCACCTCAGTAGGCAAGACGCAGGAAGCCGAAAACCTCTGAAAAGATGGAACCGAAGGGCCTGCAGGGATACTGAACCGAACCCGGGGAGGAGCCGAACCTAAATCCAACTCATACGCAGAGGGGTTGGGGGGAAAAGAAAACCCCACTCCTTATAACAGAAAACCCCACCCAGAGGGTTGGAAAACCCCAGGTGGGATCCAACAGGGCCCAAGGTCCCCAAGTAAGCTCCTCCCTAACTCCGGGAACCTCCACATCAGGCCCTGGGGGCGAGTCATCCTCCAAAGCCCCGGCCTCACAAGAAAAAGCCAGGACGGCCGGAAAAGCAGGAAGAGAAGGGGCCCACTGGTCAGACCCCAGAGCCACAGCTGGAAGAATGGACTCAAATGTCTCCGTCGCCACCTTGGGAGGGGCAACCCCCGAAACTGGCTGAGTCCCAGAAACCTTTAAACCCCGCCCTGACTCCGAAGCCCTCAGATGCTTTGGAGCCGGAATCAAGGGGGGGGGGGGGGTGGAATGAACCACAGCACGGGAAGAATGAGGGGGGTGCGAAATGAACCAAGGCCAAAGCTACCAACGCCCCTGAAGTCCGGGTCCCTATAAGCAAAGCGGGGCAGCCTCGGGACATCCGAGGAAGCAACCAACCTAGCACGTTGCAGCAACCTATACCTAGCATGCAATGCCTGAGCTGTCTGTACCCAAATAATGTCATCAGTTGATTGGGTGAATCGAGTCACAAACAAGCAACAATGCTTGCAGGACTCTGGGTCAAAGGTGTCACCGACCCAACAGGCAGCATGACAGAGGCAAAAACAATAAGCGTCACCCTGAGACAAGGGGACAGAGCAACCCTCAAACTCACACAAGACGAGAGGGGACCCAGGGGACACCATCCATTTGACCTCGTGCACCCTCATGGGGTTTCCCAGGGCCCCTAGTCTGGTATCACTAAGGGTAAGCCCAGGGTACTGCTAACTGGCACCCAAGTCTACCAACAAACTTCTAAAACTGAACCTCTGGGACGTGTCTACTCATGGGGGACCAAGCAGGGGATCCCACCGAACACCGGAGGTCAAGACCCTAACATAACTGGGGGGGGGGGGCAAGGGACACAAGGCAGAACCCCCCCCACCAGGCAGAAACAAAAAGAAAGAAAAACCCTGCAAGAAGACAACATACCCAGGAGGAACAGAGCCAGCCACTGTAATAGGTGAAAACTAGTTGCGCAGTACCCCGTGCCCCCACCAGTAACTACCACTTACCCCCAGGGTAAACAAGGGAGGAACCCTTCCCCCCAAGAATCGAGGCAGTCAATCACTGAGCAACAAAAGACCAACAGAGGTAGACCCCAAGTTGACTTATGGAAGATAACCCCAAACCCCAAGGGAAATACTTGCAGGGCACTCAAGAAAGGGAACCCTAAGCACATGCAGCCCGAGTACCTGTGAATATTACTCCCAGCACGCATGCCACCGTAAGAGCAGTACTGAACACAAGGCACAGCACAACACACAGAGAATCTGGAGGTGGAGCCACACGACCATGCCACAAACACATCAGCCAAAAACTGGAGGGTGGATTGCCAGCGCGGTGGGTCTGAGGCTTCCCCTTTCCTCTCCTGTGGAGGGGGGGAGCTGTGCATGGAGCGCGGCTCGTGTGACGTTATGCACGTTTGCTCATTTTTATTTGGGGAGTTCTGTTCACTCGTTTGTCTATTTTTGCCTTTTTAACCAGAATACGGGTTTATTTGGAGGCGCTTACCTTTCTGGGTCCCTGGCCCAATCGATAGCAGACACAGAATACTCCAAATACCATGTGCATTTTTACAGGCTATTGCTCCTTGTGCCTCTCTAAGGGGGGCCAGGTTCTGGCTCATGGTCCCTAGTAGTCCTAGAACTCCATACACACTGACTGATGCCAAAGTCTAATGATATACATATCTGCCTGGATAGCTCCCAGGAGCCGAAGGGGTTCCCCCCAGAAATGGAGAAGAAACATCAATTCCAAAAGCTAGCAAAAGAGGCTCCACTTCCAAGGTTGAATAATACAAGATAAATATTTCTTCTTGGTTTGGGGGTTGATCTCTGATCCCCAAGCTTCCCCTCATCTAGTAGAGTCAAGTTTTGGTCCTCGGTCCTAGTAGACACAAGTGGGTCTCAAGAGGCCCATGCACCGCCCTAAGGCTTAGTGGCCTTTGATAGAGCTACATGGAGATATTCAAGGGGGCCCTCTCACATGAACTCTTGAGAAAGTTTGTGACCATAAGAAAACGCCAGAATGAAAGTTCTCGAGTTAAACGAGGCATTTTATATGTAGGGTATTCTGTTTTATACAACAACATTTACACAGCTGATTTAGAAGGTATTGATGAATAACCTTCAGTGACAAAAATATAAACACTTTAGAATGTTTGAGGTAAGCTACTAACAGTACCACAAGTGTTAAACTAAGATAAATAAATAACAACTGTTATATTGTTTATTACATTGGTTTTACAACAATGCTGTAAAACATCAATGCTATGTATTCTCATAAACCCAATGTATCATCTTGTATATAAATAAATAAATAAATAAATAAATAAATAAATATAAAGAAATACTGCACAAAATGAGACGACTTGCCTGCAATCTGCACGTGACAAGTGGGGCCAGAGCAAGGGCTTCGGCATCACCAGCATGGTGGAGGAGGTCGTGTGTAAGGTCACAGCCCTGTCGTAACCAAGATGCTGTTTGACCTGCTCTCTGAGACTCGGTCACAATGCCTCGCTGAGCACGTTCGCATGCTTGGCGCACCTACTCAAAGAGACAGAGGTGGTTTAGATTACAAGATAAAGAATAGTACACTGGAAATGATTAAATGTAAAAAGCAGGATGCAAAGCATCATACAAGTATGACTGGTTTAATGTAATACAGGAAATACAAATAAGACAGTAACTGAAAAGTTCTTTTCTGAACTCCAATCAACATGAGTCAAGCATCCTTCATTATCCCCAATGCAGTAAGCAAGCTTTTTATACTGCCCCCACTGGGACATATAAGAATGAAGGGACAATTTGCAGAATTCTCAAACCAACCCTGAATGATCACAAAAATCATCATTGAATGTAATGAAATGCCAATTTCTGAGTGAGCCCCATTGGCTTCCTGAAGCTACTACAGTGGTACCTCGATTTACGAATGCCCCACTTCACGAACTTTTCGGGTTACGAGCCAGATTTCTTTGGAAAATTTGAATCAGGTTACAAACTTTACCTCGGGATACAAGTTTGTTGATACGCGTATGGCCGACCTAGCACGTGGTAGCATGGGGATCGCGCCTCAGTTTACCAGTACCCCCGCCAAGTGACTATCCCGCCTGAATTCTTAGCAAGAATTTACATTTTTTTTTTTTGGGGGGGGGGGATTTTTGGCTATTTAAACATAAAAGTTGTTATTATATATCTCGCCATGGGTCCCAAGAAAGTCAGTGGTAAGGTTCAAGGCAAGAAAACACAAGTGAGAAAGACTATAGAGAAAAACCAATTGATCATTCATAAACATGAAATGGTACTAGTGTTGTTGAACTAGCTAGACAGTATTACAAATCTTCAGGGGAGGAGGAGGAGGAGGAGGCAGTAGAGGATGTTCCTTCCTCATTAATTAAGAAAATGTGTGCAGTATGGGAAGAACTGCAAAGTTTTGCTGAAAAGAATCACCTAGGTAAAGTTGTAGCAGGCCATTGCATTGATCTTATTAATGACAATGTGATGTCTCACTACAGACAAGTGTTGGAAAGAAGGGAAAAACAATCTTCAATGGAACGATTTCTAGTGAGAAAATCAAGCAGTGAGCCACAACCAGTTCCTAGTGGTATGCAGCCAAAACGTGCCAGAGTGCACCCCAGAGAAGTCCTCACTGCCTGATGTTATAATGGAAGGGAACTCCCCTTCCAAACAGTAACACCTCTCCTCCTCCCCGCCCCTCCTCACCATCTTCCATACGCCATTTTGGCCGAATATTGAGATAACTTTATCCGGTCACGATTTTGGCCGTATAAGGGCGTTTTCCGGATGTTCGAATCCCGGATAATCGCGTGGTTACAGTATATACCTTTTCTTTCGGAAAGAGCTCTGTTCCCTTCGCTGTTGTCGGGGCACTGAGGGGAGCAGCTTGCTCTGTTCGCTCTCGCTTTGTCCCGAAGTTAGTGGGCGTTTTTGGTTGTCTTCCAGCCTCTGGTGGTGGCGGACGACTTTTCCCCCTTTGGGGGGTTCGGGGCTGGCGGGGTAGGCTTCTTCCTGTGTGCTTCGTCATGTCATCTTGGTGGATGAGTTTGGATGTGGTCGATCCGCCCCATTCTTCCGGGGTTCCCGTCTGCTCTATGCAGACACAGGCCTTGCAGATCTGCCGTTCTTCTGGACTTGTTTGTCTGCGCCCTGGATTCTTTGCTCGCTTCGGAGGACTGTTGTCTCCGGTCCAGCTTCCGTTGGGGCCGGGTGCCTGGATGGTGGCCCTGGACCTCTGGGTCACTTCTTGGCACAGTCCTCTCCAGGGTTCAGGGACTGGCACAGTCCTCTCCAGGGTTCAGGGACTGGCACAGTCAGTGGTGAGGCTTCAGGCTTGCCGCTTTTGCTGCCTTCCCTAGTTTGTACTTGGCACTTGGTGTATGTACGCATCTTTACCAGATCTTGGTGCCCTGTCTACGTCTGCTCGGGATTCGGTGTCTGGCCTACCTCGATGACTGGCTGGTGTGATCTCCCAGTCGGTCCGCTTGTCTGCTCGCCAGGGGTGTGGTTCTTTCTGGATCACCATGTTCGGTTTCTTGGTGATCGGGAGGCCATTCCATCAGTTTCTGTCCCAGGTTTGGACCTAGATGGGTCTTGTTTAGGGCTCTTGGGCTGCTCCTTGTCTTTCCCTCCAGAAGCGTTGCTGTGACTGTGGTCCCGCCTTCGGCTGTTTATGAGGAGGTCCCGGGTCGCTCGGCACTTGCTCAAGCGGTTGTGCGGGAGTCTGAATTTCGACATGCTGCTGTGCCCTCAGGGTCGGGTTTGGCTTCGGCGTCTGTTTGGTTCCTTCAGGGACTCCCTTTCTGCCTCTCTTGCAATCGTTGGGTTCATCCTCCGGGGATCTTGTGTTGGTGCTGCATCGCCAGCTTCCTCTTTGGGGTTTTCGGGGTTCCGTGCCTTAGCACCTCCCTGAGCCTTCGCTCGATGTGTTCACGGATGGGTCATCTTTCGGCAGGGGCTTTGTGACCATTGCTCACCAGGTCGGCCTGGGATGGTGGGGTCTGTCCATCAGTCGGGCTCACAGCACGATTCAGGATTTCGTGGCTGTCTAGTTTGCACTTTGGAGGGTTCGGATCACTCGGTGCTCTACCATCCAGCTCCATTCGGACTGTTATCCGGTGGTTCATTGCCGGAACCATGAGGTTTCTCTTAGGTCATTGACCTTTGGGGTTGGTCCCTTCCAGTGGCTCGTTTGCTGGATTTTCGGGGTTTGGCTAGCTGTGCAGTTCATGTCCGGGGTGTGTCCTGCATCCTGGCAGACAGCCTGTCTGTTCATTCCTCTGTTCGCGGATTGGCCTGTCATTGCCGACTCGTTCGTTGGTTCTGCCGGACGTATGGACTCCTGGCCATGGACATCTCCGCGTTGGCGTGGATTCGGTGTCTCCCATTCTATATGGCGCCCTTACCTGCCTGCAAGGCATTCACGGTGGATGCCTTTCGGCAGGACTGGTCGAGGTGGGGGTACCTGTTCCTCTTCTCCCGGTCCAGTTGTTGCTTCAGGTTCTGGCTCAGTTGGAGTCCATTCCCTAGGAGAGTAGTCCTCGTGGTCCCTTGGTGGCTGGCCCAGCATTATTTTCAGACGCTGCTTGATAAGTGTCCGAAACCCGGGGCATTATCCCGCGGCTCCGCCTCTTTTGGCAGGTTGGACCGATCCTGTACGTGACTGGTTCGGCCTTCTCCTTGGCTCTTCGCGTCTGGTATTTTGATGCGGGTGTATCACTATATGGTGATCAGGTGGCTTAGTTGATGGTGTCCCACCTGCGAGCTTCATCTCGGCAACAGTATGATGTTCCTGGTGTTTCTTTTCGCTATTTTCTTGCTCTTCGTAGGTTGTCTTTTCTTGCTCTTCGTAGGTTGTCTTCTCTTTCACATCGGGTTGTCTTCTCCTTTCTTGGGTATTCAGGACTGTTATTTGATGCTTCTTACTGTCCCCTCAATTCGTGCGGTGCTGGCGGAGCCGCTCCGGCTTACGTTTGGGGTGGACGTCACATCCGCCCCGTTCAGTACACTTTCTTGTGTTGTTTCACCTCCGGCCTGCTCATGCATTGCCTGAGCCATCCTGGTCCTTGATAAGTTGCCCTCTTCTCTTTCTTCTCAGTTTGTGGTAGCCCCTTTGGTTCAAGATTGTTTTTCATAGGCCATATTTTGTTGGCATGGGCCTCTGCGGGTCGGGTTGGGCGGCTCTTCTGGTGCAGGGGTTTCTGCTCTTTTGGTACTAGTGATAGGTTTGAATGTTCGCAGCCTTTCTCCATCCTTCAGGGAACGGTCGAGATGCCTGCTTTCCAGAGGGGTCCTTGGGTTATTGATGCTTGGTTGGTTCGGCCAGGGGTGCGTCATGTGTTGTCTAGTTGTGGCTCTTTGCCGTTACCTGCGTACCGTGACTGGGGGATGCGCTTTGGGTTGATCCGGTTCCTCTCATTCCCTGTTTCAGGGCTTGGGTCTCCCAGGTCGTCCGTAGAGTTTTTAAATCTACTAGCCTGTGGTCTATCCTTGCGCCTGTGCTGTTCGAATGTTTGCAGCTTTCGCTGCCATGTTGGTGACATCTAGGGCTCATTTCGGGTGCAAGGATTTGGGGGTCGCACAGGTTCCTGGCCACTCATTCTTTGTGCGCGTGTCTGCTCCTGTGTGTTCATGTGTTGCCTTGGGTCGCAGGTTGCAGCCTGTTCTCTCGGCTTCGTGTTGCGGAATTTGTGGCGGCCGCCTCCTGGGTCTGCTCTTTTTTTTCCTTTTTCTTTGGGTATGAAGTTCTAGGGAGCCATAGTGGCTCCCCACAGAAAACCAGCATTGAATGTAATGAAACGCCATTTTCTGGGTGAGCCCCGGAGGATCCCTGGCAACCCTCCCTCCCACAGGTCGGCGTTTTTTTTGCGTTAGTTAAAGCTTGGCTTCCGAACTGATGCTAGGCAGCTTGCGCGGCGAGATCTGGGGGCCCCCCCCTCTCCCTCTCGGGGCGGGGAGGGCTGCGCGAACGATCAGCGTGGCAGTAAAGTGTGATGTTTGCTTGTTTGCTTGTTTCCTTGGGATTGTAGGGAGTTTCTACCTCTGCTCGATTTTGTGTTTTAGTTTTTTACCATGTGGGGTTTGTTTTGTTATGCCTACCGTTCTGGGTGCCTAACCCTGGTCAATGGCAGATAAGGAAAACCCCAACCACAAGGGGGTTTTCCAGGACCATTGCTCCCTGAAACCTCTCTGAAGGGGCCAGGTTCTGGTGCTGGTCCCTGGTAGGCCTGAACTCCTTAGCTAATGTCCCGGTCTAATATAACATACATTAGCCCGATAAGCTCCAGGGAGCCTCCGGGCTCACCCAGAAAAATGGCATTTCATTACATTCAACACTGGTTTTCTGGAGGAGTCCTGGTGGCTTACTGAAGCTATCTTGCTGAGTTTGCTTCATTCTAAAAGGTTCCATCAGCTGCATAAATTCTGTTTGGACTTGTGCCAGAATGTTGCCTCCTCATAAATGCATAGAGTGAATGACAACATTCCATGCCACTGGGAAAACCTCCAGAAAGTCAATGAAGCTTTATGGACAACAGGAGGGCTCACAGAAACTGAAATCCTGAAACTGATAAACAACTTGGCAAATGATTCAGACAGATCAAGGGATTCACTTAAACTAGCTTGAAATTCATTAGACCTGATCACCACCACCAAGTGGCTTGGCTCCCACTTGCAGCTGGCTTCCCTAACTAGCCAGTTCTAGAGCTCAAGTACAACTCAACAAGAAACCCTGAATCCTGCAACTGGGTCAGAAGGCTCAACTGCTTCCAACACTGAAGTGGATGAGGCCACCCCCAGAGGAAGCAGAACTTCATTTCAACCTAAATCCCGACTCGACACCAGACTCTCAGGTGCTTCGAAGTTGGAACCGGTCGGGAAAGACCAGAAGCAGAGTAAACAACACCCACAGGAGAAGAAAGAGGAAGTGCAGACTTAGTTTAGGTGGCAATAAGCAACACTTCAAATTCTTGATTCCTAAGCACCATAGGGGCCAACATCAGGACATCCAAATGATCATACTGCTGCGAATGCCTAACATGAGTAAATATCACTTGTAAAGCACCAGTCACCTGATAAGCTTCCAAACATGAAGCAGAATCAGTCAAAGCAGAGACCCAATGAAAGCAAACCTCACAGGAATCAGGGTTGTAGTTGTCACCAACCAAGCAGGCAGCATGTCGGAGGCAGTAAGAGAATGATCAATACTAATAAGGACGATGGGCACCCTTTGAGTCTGCACTCTGAGTGAGTGCAGACTCAATGGATCAATACATAACAAACCACACCAGAGATCTGCGGGAAAATTGACAGGGCCTGAAGGAAACTAGCCAAACAGGACAACCAGGCCACTTACCCACTTACTGAAAGAATATACGGTACACCAAATGGATCCAAAACCCCAAGGCAATGAATGGTATAGTTGCGTGCCATATAAACAAGCGTGTGAACCCCAATGCACCCTGAGTAAAAACCAAACAGAATGCCCTCAACCAAGGTCTCAAACAGAGAAGTCAAAGACTCATGGACAATCCAATGTGAGGCTCTCCACCCAGGTGGCCAGACTTCATGGAGTGACAAACTCCCCCTCTTCCTATTCTTAACTAGAATAGGGGTTTGTTTTGGGGATGCTTACCTTTCCGGGTGCCTGACCCGGTCGATGGCAGACATAGAATGCTTCCAACCACACGAGGGTTTCTATGGGCCATTGCTCCTTGTGCCTCTCTGAGAGGGGCCAGGTTCTGACTCATGGTCCCTGGAAGGCCTAAGAACTCCATTCACACTGACCAGGTTTGTTTCACACTTTGGCCACTGGCCAAAGTCTAATATTAGCAATATCAGCCTGGATAGCTCCAGGGAGCCGATGTGGCTCCCCTCAAGAAAGTACTATGTAAATTAACCCAGCCTAGCAAAAACAGCTTGGAAAACCTACCTTGGTGTGCCAAAGTGCAGCTCACGTGAAACCCTGTGCACCCCACCAGCCAACATGCTCAAACCGGAAAAAAGATGGAAACTAAAAACCACAGACTTATCCTATAGCGAAGGCCACCACAAGTGAGATGGATTTCTAAACGTCCACCTTCCACTGAACACCCCAGGAAAGAAAACCCCTGGCAGGGCAAGGGGGAAGCACTAGGGAGCATGAAGGGTAGGTTACCCTTAACACATGCAGTTCCAGGTGCACTAAACTTCTTGGTCCATGCACAAACATGTGCAAGAAACAGCCAACAAGGCAAAAGAAAACCAAAGAAAAACATGGGCCAGAGCAACAGTGGCAGACCCAGCACACATCAGAGGAGAACTGATGGTGGAGCGGCATGTGAGCTCTGACCTGCCCCCATTCTCCCACCAAACAAGAGGAAGGGTGATATGAACAAGCAAGTGCTACTTTTATAACTTTTCCAATAGTTTATTTACATATCTTGGGGAGTTTTATGGTTGTTTTCAAGTCTGTATGTCTCAAAGGCAGCCAGTTGTAGTTTGTTTTGACTTGCCAACTTTCTGGGTACCTTCCTCGGTGATGGCATAAATGAATAACTTAATATATAAATGTCACAGCTCCCTGCACCTCTGTGAGGGGGACCAGGTTCTGGTTCTGTTGCCTGGTAGGCCAGAGAACTCCACGACTGATGGAACTTATTATCTCACATCAGAGATGGTAGATTGTATGTACTAACTCAATTTTTAAATAAAACATTATGTTTGTAACTCATCTTCTATGTATGTACTTTTACCTGAATAAACATTTTGATTTTGACTTTTGATTTTGTAGCTTCAGGGAGCCATAAGAGACTCCCCCCAAATAAACCTGATTTTTCTGTCATATTCAGGTTATCTTAGCTTTATTTTAGATTTAAGTTTTTAATTGAGAAATTTTTAAACAAACTAGAATACATTTGTACTAACTTGTCTAAGAAGTGTGTGCCGGTGCTCCTCCAAAGCCATTATGTAGTCATCTATAAAGGCGTTGACTTGATCACTAACTATACGACCTCGTTGTTGTACTCTTGTGGCAGCACCAGAAAGATCCTCAACTGTGCTCAAGAGCTCATTCATTCTGTAGAAAACAAAATGTTTTGATTTTTGTAGTTCAAAATCAGAGTATCATTCCAAGAAAAAGTACGAGTGTAATATACCAAGAATACTTGATTATATATAAAGTACATAGATGGGGGTACCCAGCTGTGCCCAGCTCTTTCTCCCCACCTCCCATTTATCTTTCTCTCTCTCTTCCCTTCCCAATATCATCTCTTTTCCCCTGGGTTCTAAGCTCATTGAAACAATGAGCTTAGCTGCAGCCTAGAGCTGCAGCTTTCTTTTCCAGCGCCTCAGCGTGGCGATACAGAGGGGAAATGCACACTGCATTCAGGGATCCTGCCTGCCATCTGAGGAGCTGGAGGAACTCGACAACTTATGATAACCATCTATGTACCCTATATGTAACTCCTTTTTTGTAACAAAGTTCAAATAAAACAAATATTATATATATATATATATATATATATATATATATATATATATATATATATATATATATATATATATATATATATATATATATATATATATATATATATATATATATATATATGTCGTACCTAATAGCCAGAACGCACTTCTCAGCCTACTATGCAAGGCCCGATTTGCCTAATAAGCCAAGTTTTCATGAATTAATTGTTTTTCGTCTACCTAACCTACCTAACTTAACCTAACCTAACTTTTTCGGCTACCTAACCTAACCTAACCTATAAAGATAGGTTAGGTTAGGTTAGGTAGGGTTGGTTAGGTTCGGTCACATATCTACGTTAATTTTAACTCCAATAAAAAAAATTGACCTCATACATAATGAAATTGGTAGCTTTATCATTTCAAAAGAAAAAAATTAGAGAAAATATATTAATTCAGGAAAACTTGGCTTTTTAGGCAAATCGGGCCTTGCATAGCAGGCCAAAAAGTGCGTGCTGGCTACTAGGTATGACATATATATATATATATATATATATATATATATATATATATATATATATATATATATATATATATATATATATATATATATATATATATATATATATATATATATATATATATATATATATATATATATATATATATATATATATATATATATATATATATATATATATATATATATATATATATATATATATATATATATATATATATATATATATATATATATATATATATATATATATATATATATATATATATATATATATATATATATATATATATATATATAATGGGGTGCATAATAATGAAAGAATCTATCTATCTATAGTTGACATGGAAGCACTAGCACAAGGATAGCAAGCAGAAAGATAGGAAAGTTTGGAAGGATAACTTGTAAATGTACACTAAGAGTTAATGCATTAGTGGATGAAGGCTATGTGAAGCCTTTGGAAACGTTACCTGGAAGAAGCCTGGTCAAGCAATGCTGTGAGCTTTCTGCATGCTTGGGGTGCCTCCTGGTCCACAGTGACAGTTGGGTGTCCACGGTGAAGGGTGGCGAGGCAAGCAGCACAGAGCGGCTCATGACATCCTCGGCACCACCACCGAACCTCTCCTTCTCCATGAGTGGCACAGACCAGAGTGTGAGCTACCTCTCTTATACCTAAACTTCTGGCTTCCTGGCCAAGTGAAAATGTTCATAACAAAGTAGCACAGTAACTTATAATCTTACACAATAACATTGATATTTAAATAACATGAAACTGGAAATTAACAAAATAGTCTAATGTATCTATTGAATCATGAATTTTATTTAAATTCTATCTGCATGGAAAGAATTGAGTGATCAAGAGACATCTGCACTGACAAATTAACTCATTTATTATGATTAAAGATATACTATGAATCCGTTTGAGAAGCAATAATATTTTCTTCATTAATTAATTTAGTATCAACCAATCTGAATTTCACTTTTACATAAATAATCATTGTAAATACTCAACTTGAGTCGTATTCACAATTTCCTGTTCTTCATTTTCCCCTTTTTACTTCTGCTACTGTGTCTCCTCTTTACTTCTGCTACTGTGTCTCCTAGTTACTTCTGCTACTGTGTCTCCTCTTTACTTCTGCTACTGTGTCTCCTCTTTACTTCTGCTACTGTGTCTCCTCTTTACTTCTGCTACTGTGTCTCCTCTTTACTTCTGCTACTGTGTCTCCTCTTTACTTCTGCTACTGTGTCTCCTCTTTACTTCTGCTACTGTGTCTCCTCTTTACTCCTGCTACTGTGTCTCCCATTTACTTTTGCTACTGTGTCTCCTAGTTACTTTTGCTACTGTGTCTCCTAGTTACTTTTGCTACTGTGTCTCCTAGTTACTTCTGCTACTGTGTCTCCCATTTACTTCTGCTACTGTGTTTCCTAGTTACTTCTGCTACTGTGTCTCCTAGTTACTTCTACTACTGTGTCTCCTAGTTACTTCTGCTACTGTGTCTCCTAGTTACTTCTGCTACTGTGTCTCCTAGTTACTTCTGCTACTGTGTCTCCTAGTTACTTCTGCTACTGTGTCTCCTAGTTACTTCTGCTACTGTGTCTCCTAGTTACTTCTGCTACTGTGTCTCCTAGTTACTTCTGCTACTGTGTCTCCTCTTTACTCCTGCTACTGTGTCTCCCATTTACTTTTGCTACTGTATCTCCTAGTTACTTTTACTACTGTGTCTCCTAGTTACTTTTGCTACTGTGTCTCCCATTTACTTCTGCTACTGTGTCTCCTAGTTACTTTTACTACTGTGTCTCCTCTTCACTTCTGCTACTGTGTCTCCTCTGTACTTCTGCTACTGTGTCTCCTCTTTACTTCTGCTACTGTGTCTCCTCTTTACTTCTGCTACTGTGTCTCCTCTTTACTTCTGCTACTGTGTCTCCCATTTACTTCTGCTACTGTGTCTCCTCTTTACTTCTGCTACTGTGTCTCCCATTTACTTCTGTTACTGTGTCTCCTAGTTACTTTTACTACTGTGTCTCCTAGTTACTTTTGCTACTGTGTCTCCTAGTTACTTTTGCTACTGTGTCTCCTAGTTACTTCTGCTACTGTGTCTCCTAGTTACTTCTGCTACTGTGTCTCCTAGTTACTTCTGCTACTGTGTCTCCTAGTTACTTCTGCTACTGTGTCTCCTAGTTACTTCTGCTACTGTGTCTCCTAGTTACTTCTGCTACTGTGTCTCCTAGTTACTTCTGCTACTGTGTCTCCTAGTTACTTCTGCTACTGTGTCTCCTAGTTACTTCTGCTACTGTGTCTCCTAGTTACTTCTGCTACTGTGTCTCCTAGTTACTTCTGCTACTGTGTCTCCTAGTTACTTCTGCTACTGTGTCTCCTAGTTACTTCTGCTACTGTGTCTCCTCTTTACTCCTGCTACTGTGTCTCCCATTCACTTTTGCTACTGTATCTCCTAGTTACTTTTACTACTGTGTCTCCTAGTTACTTTTGCTACTGTGTCTCCCATTTACTTCTGCTACTGTGTCTCCTAGTTACTTTTACTACTGTGTCTCCTCTTCACTTCTGCTACTGTGTCTCCTCTGTACTTCTGCTACTGTGTCTCCTCTTTACTTCTGCTACTGTGTCTCCTCTTTACTTCTGCTACTGTGTCTCCTCTTTACTTCTGCTACTGTGTCTCCTCTTTACTTCTGCTACTGTGTCTCCCATTTACTTCTGCTACTGTGTCTCCTCTTTACTTCTGCTACTGTGTCTCCCATTTACTTCTGCTACTGTGTCTCCTAGTTACTTTTACTACTGTGTCTCCTAGTTACTTTTGCTACTGTGTCTCCTAGTTACTTTTGCTACTGTGTCTCCTAGTTACTTCTGCTACTGTGTCTCCTAGTTACTTCTGCTACTGTGTCTCCTAGTTACTTCTGCTACTGTGTCTCCTAGTTACTTCTGCTACTGTGTCTCCTAGTTACTTCTGCTACTGTGTCTCCTAGTTACTTTTGCTACTGTGTCTCCTAGTTACTTTTGCTACTGTGTCTCCCATTTACTTCTGCTACTGTGTTTCCTAGTTACTTCTGCTACTGTGTCTCCTAGTTACTTCTGCTACTGTGTCTCCTAGTTACTTCTGCTACTGTGTCTCCTAGTTACTTCTGCTACTGTGTCTCCTAGTTACTTCTGCTACTGTGTCTCCTAGTTACTTCTGCTACTGTGTCTCCTAGTTACTTCTGCTACTGTGTCTCCTAGTTACTTCTGCTACTGTGTCTCCTAGTTACTTCTGCTACTGTGTCTCCTAGTTACTTCTGCTACTGTGTCTCCTAGTTACTTCTGCTACTGTGTCTCCTCTTTACTCCTGCTACTGTGTCTCCCATTTACTTTTGCTACTGTATCTCCTAGTTACTTTTACTACTGTGTCTCCTAGTTACTTTTGCTACTGTGTCTCCCATTTACTTCTGCTACTGTGTCTCCTAGTTACTTTTACTACTGTGTCTCCTCTTCACTTCTGCTACTGTGTCTCCTCTGTACTTCTGTTACTGTGTCTCCTCTTTACTTCTGCTACTGTGTCTCCTCTTTACTTCTGCTACTGTGTCTCCTCTTTACTTCTGCTACTGTGTCTCCCATTTACTTCTGCTACTGTGTCTCCTCTTTACTTCTGCTACTGTGTCTCCCATTTACTTCTGCTACTGTGTCTCCTAGTTACTTTTGCTACTGTGTCTCCTAGTTACTTTTGCTACTGTGTCTCCTAGTTACTTTTGCTACTGTGTCTCCTAGTTACTTTTGCTACTGTGTCTCCTAGTTACTTCTGCTACTGTGTCTCCTAGTTACTTCTGCTACTGTGTCTCCTAGTTACTTCTGCTACTGTGTCTCCCATTTACTTCTGCTACTGTGTCTCCCATTTACTTCTGCTACTGTGTCTCCCATTTACTTCTGCTACTGTGTCTCCTCTTTACTTCTGCTACTGTGTCTCCCATTTACTTCTGCTACTGTGTCTCCTAGTTACTTTTGCTACTGTGTCTCCTAGTTACTTCTGCTACTGTGTCTCCTAGTTACTTCTGCTACTGTGTCTCCTCTTTACTCCTGCTACTGTGTCTCCCATTTACTTTTGCTACTGTATCTCCTAGTTACTTTTACTACTGTGTCTCCTAGTTACTTTTGCTACTGTGTCTCCCATTTACTTCTGCTACTGTGTCTCCTAGTTACTTTTGCTACTGTGTCTCCTAGTTACTTCTGCTACTGTGTCTCCTCTTCACTTCTCCTACTGTGTCTCCTCTTCACTTCTCCTACTGTGTCTCCTCTTCACTTCTGCTACTGTGTCTCCTCTGTACTTCAATGCTATAATAATGGGTTGGGATTGGCCCAACTATCCCAACCCATTATTGGGATAATTGGGACAAAAAGTCCCCAAACACAAAATATAAACCAAAAATAATCAGGGTAACAGAGAATAAAGTGAAGGTCATTAGTCCTATTTCCCGGTGCTATTTTAAGAGAAAGATCGTTAAATAATACAGAAACTCAAATCGAGGAAGGCAAAGAAAATCTGGCACTTTAACCCTTGTACTGCTCACCTATTTTCGGCAAAAAAGTCTTGGTGCAATTGTCAAGGACATATTTTTGTTATTTTTACAAATGTTCAGGTAAATTTAATGTCAAAATGTTTCCAAAGTCAACTATTTCCATTTCAAAACACAAATAGTAATGAAAACATGAAAAAACATTAAAATATAGCCAAATTAAAAAACAAAAAGCACAACTCTCTGAGCGCCTAAAGGCGCTTTGCGCAGTGCAGTGGGATCAGATGAGCTCTGAATAGATACAGAAAAGACATATACAAAATTAAAGAATGCCTTCCAAAGCTGAAGAAATGTATAGTCCCTTCTGCCAACACTGCTAGTTTCTGTTTCTCCTAAACATCTGGCAGCTTCTTTTCCTCTTGTTTACCATGGATCCTTATATGCATTTTGTTCAGAGGATCAAACCATCACCTCTTCCCTTCTCTGGGAAGAGTTGACTTGAGCCCCCAGTTACTTCCTAGCACCTGTATGATCCAGCAAGGACAGATGCTAAAAGTTACCTGCTACATGAGCAGGGTATGTTATTCTAAACTATAGGTGCTAGATCCTAACCAGAGGTTAATAGTACCTTTCTTTAGAAAGCAACAGTGTGGGAAGCTCAGAAATGATCACAAGCTCATCACCAAACTGGAAAAGGTGCAAAGACATGCTACTAAGTGGCTCCCAGAACTCAAGGGCAAGAGCTACGAGGAGAGGTTAGAGGCATTAAATATGCCAAAACTAGAAGGCAGAAGAAAAAGGATGATATGATCACTATGTACAAAATAGTAACAAAAATCGATAAAATTGATAGGAAAGAATTCCTGAGACCTGGAACTTCAAGAACAAGAGGTCATAGATTTAAACTAACTAAACAAAGATGCAGAAGAAATATAAGAAAATTCACTTTTGCAAACAGAGTGGTAGACGGTTAGAACAAGTTAGGTGAGAAGGTGGTGGAGGCCAAGACCGTCAGTAGTTTCAAAGCATTATATGACAAAGAGTGCTAGGAAGACAGGACACCACGAGCGTAGCTCTCATCCTGCAACTACACTTAGGTAATTACACTTAGGTGATTACTTAAATAGAAATGAAATGACAAAAAAAAGGAGTTAGGTAAGAGGCATTTGCAGCACATGAAACAGAGACACATACTTGTAATGATATAACGGTGTGGTGAGTTGTGCGTCTCTGTCGTGTGTGCGCATGACTACAGAGTCGACACAGGTTCACTGGACAGCTGTCACAGCGCTCTTCAGCCACTACATCTGTTGATCAAACTCATGAGAGTATCATCACATATATGGCTTAATATCATTATCATTTCTCTGATGGATAGTATATTACTATGGTAGAGATAGTGCAAAAAAAACATTGAATATAATGAAACACCAGTTTCTGGGCGAGTCCTGGAGGCTCCCTGAAGCTATCTTACTGATCAAGTGCTATACTACTTGAGTGTCATCAGTCACACAGTTCTTTGTAAGCTTACTGGGGAATGGCCTAGGAGCACTTTACATGTAAAGTATGTGTCACATAATTCCCCAGCATAGCCAGGAAAACTACGTCTTCACTCTTACCTTCGTCATTGGAAGGTTATTCACCACTCTACTGTACTTCCTCCGGACCTACACACCTCATAAAATGTCTGGTATGGTGTTCAACCAAGCTCCAGACGAATGTCTAGAAAACCCTACCAGAGCATCCACCACCCCACCCAAGAGCTTATCATAGGTGCAATCAGGTGATCTGCTGGCTGACAGTTATGTCTATGGAAAATCACCTGTTATGCTGTGGAAGACTCGTTATAGCACCTTGATAAAGGATGTGACATCACTGTCAAGGAAATAAGTACCCTTGACCCCAGCCAGCTCATCAGTCTCTCTCAGATGCTCAAGATTTACACATTATAATCTCAACACGATGCTTGCCTCCAGCTGCTTGTTGTCGTTGTTTTACATTCAGATACTCGGAACAAAAGTTCCAAATAGCACAGGCTATGGCAAGCCCATAGTGGACTTCCAGCTGCTTCATGTATAGGTTGTAATGTTCAATGTAAATATTCTCAGTGACACCCTTATTTTTGTGTTAATGTAAGTTTGTATATACGTATTTTTGCTTTTGTGTGTTAGCTGCCTGACAGTTGGGTGGACAGTGCTTCGGATTCGTAGTCCTGAGGTTCCAGGTACGATTCCCGGTGGAGGCGGAGACAAATGGGCAAAATGTTTCTTTCACCCTGATGCCCCAGTTACCTAGCAGTAAATAGGTACCTGGGAGTTAGACAGCTGCTATGGGCTGCTTCCTGGGGAAGTGTGTAACAAAAAGGAGGCCTGGTCGAGGACTGGGCCGCGGGGACGCTAAGCCCCGAAATCATCTCGACATAACCTCAAGATAGCAAAGTGTCAGGGGCTTTGTGTATATTTCATATGTTATTTGTTTATCTTGACATTAGAGTAAATTGACAATATTTTTTGCCCGAGAATTACTTTCACTCCTGTGTCCTGTGTAATTTCTACATTTCAAAGGCCAATGCAGTTTTTCTGTGGAGAGCCCCTTCGGCTCCTCGGAGCTATACTGGGCTGATGTGCATATATTAGACCATGGCAACAGTCAATAGATGGAGTTCTAGGCCTACCGTTGACCAGAGGTAGAACCTGGCCTCCTCAAGAAGAGGCACAAAGAGCAATGGCCTAAAGACACCCCCCATGTAATTGGAAGCAGTCTTTGTCTGCCATCTACCAGGTCAGGCACCCAGAAAGGTAGGAATTCCAAAACAAACTACTGCTGGTCAAAAATTGCAAACCAAAAATCGAACAAACAAGCAGAACTCCCCAATAAAAAAAAGCAAACAAGCATGATGTCACCATAACCGTCGCGCATCCGTCTGCACAACCCCCCCCCATCTCCGGGAGGGGGATAGGGGGGTGTCCCTGACCTCTCCGCTGGCTACTCTCCTCGGTTCAGAAGGCTGTTGTGTCAGTGGCAGTCGATCGACTCTGGCTCCATCCTTTGTGCAGTGCTGCTTAACGATGTTGATGCTCTGTGTTGGTGGTGTGCGAGCCAGAAGTAACACAAGAGTACTGGAGCTGCATGCATCTAGGGCCACCTTCCCTAAGTGCCTTGTAAGTACTGCCCCTGCTGCCTAGGGTTATCTTCCCTGAGCCGTTCGGAAACTACCTCCGCGAGGTTCTGTTGCTGCTCGGTGATTGCCCGCTCTTGGGGTTCAGCTGGGGGGTTTTTACTCCTATTTGCACTTGGGTAGGAGGTAGTTTTGTCACTGGCTGGGGCACGAGGTACTGTGCAGCTGTCTGATATACGAATAGCGACCGGTTCTGTTCACCTGGAGACGTTGTGCTTTTGTGGGGATTTTTTTTGTTTTTTTTTTTGTTTTGCCTGGTGGGGGTCTGCCAGGTGTGGCTGTAGGACCACTTGTATGGTTTTGGTTGCTCTCCACTATGCCTCCGTGCTCGTGCATGTCACAGGAGTTCAGCTTTTAGTATGTTTGCTTGGTAGCTCTGGGATAACTGGTTAGCAGTACCTCACCTGGGCTTGGCCCTGGAAACCTGTACACCAAGACACCTGGCCACCACACCATATGCACACACAGCTGGAACAGCCACACAGGGCAAAAATCAAGAACAGGAATTAGAGGCAAGAGGTGACAACCCGACTGCCAGCACATCAATTCAGGAACTGGAGTGGTGGGCTGCTGGCTCACCTGAGCTGGCTCTCTCCCTCTTTTGGGGGTTGGGGGGTTTGGGGGGGGTGGCGTTAACAAGCCGGAGTGCTAGTTGCATGAAGTATTGCTTTTTTTCTCTTTCTGGAGGGGAGAGTTCTTTTGCCCTTTCTGGATACAGGTCACAGTTTTCACCAGACTGTGGTTTGTTTTGTTTTGTCTATCTTTCTGGGTGTCTTCCCCGGTCGATGGCAATTATAACATACAGTACTTTAAATGTAATGTGTTCATAGGCCACTGCTCCCTGCACCTCTCTGAGTGGGCCAGGTTCATGGTCATCGGTAGGCATAGGAACTCCTGTGACTGATGACCCCAAGCTAATATAGCACTATATCAGTTCAGAAAGCTTCAGGGAGCTAATGGGGCTCCCCACAGAAAAGGCTTTAGACAGAGTCCCACACAAGAAGTTGTTCTGGAAGCTAGAACATGAACATGCTGGGGGTTGATAGGAAGACTTTTAACATGGATGAAAATTTTTGTAACAGACAGAAAAATGAGGGTAGTACTCAGAGACAATGTATCAGACTGGAAAAATGTTACTAGTAACGTACTACAGGGTTCAGTTCTAGCACCAGTAATGTTCATTCTCTATATAAACAATCACCCAAAAGGAATATATAATTATATAAACATGTTTGCTGATGATGGTAACAAAAGATAAGAAAGAAAGATAAAGATAAGAAATCTACAAAAGAAGATAAGAAACTTAGACGATTGTCTTGCTTTTACCTGCAGATGGTCTCGGGAGTTCTTCTACGCCCTGAGCCCAGCCTGGGACTGATAAAATAAGTGTATGGAGCAACACTTGGTAAATGGAATTCAATGTGAATACCAGGTTATGGAATGTGGAATAGGAGAAAATAGGCTTCATACAACCTACAAATTATGGGGAAAGGCATTAAGGAGCTCTGACCAAGAGAGGGTGGTTCTAGACAGTAAACTGTCACCAGACAACCACATAAAGAATATTGTGCAAGGAGCCTATGTTACACTTTCCAACTTCAGAATTGCTTCTAAATACATGGATGGCAAAATATTAAAAAACTGTACACAGCCTTCATGAGGCCAAGGGGGCCTGACAGCTGAGTGGACAGCACTCAGGGTTCGTAGTCCTGTTGTTCCAGGTTCGATCCCCGGTGGAGGCGGAAAGAAATAGGCAGAGTTTCTTTCATCCTGATGTTTCTGTTCACCTAGCAGTAAAATAGGTACCTGGGAGTTAGACAGCTGCTATGGGCTGCTTCCTGGGGATGTAATTACCTAAGTGTAATTACCTAAGTGTAGTTACAGGATGAGAGCTACGCTCGTGGTGTCCCGTCTCCCCAGCACTCTTTGTCATATAATGCTTTGAAATTACTGACAGTTTTGGCCTCCACCACCCTCTCACCTAACTTGTTCCAACCATCTACCACTCTATTTACAAAAGTGAATTTTCGTATATTTCTCTGGCAGCTTTGTTTCGTTAGTTTAAATCTATGACCTCTTGTTCTTGAAGTTCCGGGTCTCGGGAAGTCTTCCCTATCAATTTTATCAATTCCTGTTACTATTTTGAACGTAGTGATCATATCGCCTCTTTTTCTTCTATCTTCTAGTTTTTGCATATTTAATGCCTCTAATTTCTCCTCGTAGCTCTTGTCCTTCAGTTCTGGGAGCCACTTAGTGGCATGTCGTTGCAACTTTTCCAGTTTGTTGATGTGCTTCTTAAGATATGGGCACCATGCAACTGCTGCATATTCCAGCTTTGGTCTAATAAAAGTCGTGAACAATTTCTTTAGTATTTCTCCATCCATGTATTTAAAAGCAATTCTGAGGTTAGAAAGTGTAACATAGGCTCCTCACACAATGTTCTTAATGTGGTCCTCAGGTGACAGTTTTCTATCTAGAACCACCCCTAGATCCCTTTCTTTGTCAGAATTCTTTAAAGATTTCTCACATAATTTATAGGTTGTGTGGGGTCTAACGTTCTCCAATTCCACATTCCATAACATGGCATTTATTCACATTAAATTCCATTTGCCAAGTGTTGCTCCATATACTTATTTTGTCCAGGTCTTCTTGAAGGGCATGACCATCATCTAGGTTTCTTATCTTCCCTATTATCTTAGCATCATCAGCAAACATGTTCATGTAATTCTGTATTCCCACTGGTAGATCGTTTATGTAGACAATGAACATTACCGGTGCAAGAACTGAACCCCTGTGGTACTGTGTAATCAAAAGGAGGCCTGGTCGAGGACCAGGCCGTGGGGACACTTAGCTCCGAAATCATCTCAAGATAACCACAAGATAAGACCAAAATTAGAATATGTAGTGGTTGTATGGTGATCATATCTCAAGTACATCAATAAACTGAAAAAGGTGCAAAGATATGCAACTAAATGGCTTCCTGAACTGAAAAACAAGAATTATGAAGGAGAGGTTAAAGGTGTTAAATGTACAGAAGTTAGGAGATAGAAGAAAAATAGGTGATATAATCCCTACATACAAAACAGTAACAGGAATCAACAAACTTCTTTGTTGATTCCTCATACTTAAAACAGAAGAAAGTCTTGACGACTTTCTTCATGACTTTCTTGAAACGAAGAAGTTGTTGAAACCTACATCTTCAAGAACAAGATGTCATAGATTCAAACTATGTAAACAAACCTGCCAAAAAAATTTGAAAGTTCCCTTTTGCAAAAACAGAATTGTAGATGGTTGAAACAAGTTAGGTGAGAAGGTGGTGTAAAGCGAAACCATCAGTTATTTCAAATCATCTTATGACAAAAAGTACTGGGAAGATGGGAGACCTCAGGCATAGCTCTCATCCAATAAATCCACTTAGGTAAGCAGGCGATGAGTCACAATAACGTGGCTGAAGTATGTTGACCAGACCACACACTAGAAAGTGAAGAGACCACGACGTTTCGATTGACTTGAGAATGGTCCAGGATGGACCGAAACGTCGTCGTCCCTTCACTTTCTAGTGTGTGGTCTGGTCAACTACTTAGGTAATTACATTTAGTTTTACAGTTCCATTTGTTAATAATTATGAAAACATAACTGAAAGATTAGCAACTGGAATAAGAGCAATGAGGCTACAACTGACCATCATGGCAGAGGTCACAGTAGACAGTTGTTGAGGATGAGTTCAGAGCTTCAAGAACCAGCTGCTTCTGGAGAACATAGTTGAGTGGAAAGCACTCGACGCCTCCAGTAGGAACCTTGGCCTCGTATCCACATTCAGGACACCAAACTATCCACACTCCTGTATAAAATTATTCACATTAAATATTTTTCATTACACTCTTATATACATTGTCTTATATACAATCAGATCTTTATACTGAACTTCAAATAATACTAAAAAAACAGCATTGAATGTAATGAAACGCCATTTTCTGGATGAGACCTGGAGGCTCCCTGGAGCTATCCGGGTTGATATGAATGTATTAGACCCCTGGCATCAGTCAATATGCATGGAGTTCTAGGCCAACCTAGGACCACGAGCCAGAACCTAGCCTCCTCAGAGAGGCATGAGGAGCAATTGCCCTATAGAAATTCCGTGTGGTTGGAAACATTCTATGTCTGCCATCCACCGGGTCAGGTACCCACAAAGGTAAGCTCCCCAAAACAAACCCCTATTCTGGTTAAAATATTGCTACTGAAAGCAGAACTAGTAGACAGAACTCCCCCAAGTGAAATCAAGCAAACAAGCATGACGTCAACACATCTCCGCACTGCTGTCTGCTCAGCGCCCCAATACCCGGGAGGGGAAAGGGGAAGCCCATGACCCCCCCCACCAGCTATCCAAACCCCAGTTCTGGGGCTGGATGCCAAAAACTGCAAAAAAACGTCGACCAGAGGGAGGGAGGGTTGCCGGGTAGCCTCCGCGTCTCATTCAGAAAATGCCGCTTCATTACATTCAACGTTGGTTTTCTCAGGAGAGCCCCTTCAGCTCCCTGGAGCTATATACTCAAAGACAAAACAAGAGGAACGTACCCGAGAGATGGGACCGAAAACCTTGCAGATGACCTGGGAGACCTGAACCCCAGAACAAGGAAGAGGAGATACCGAGTCAACCCAAAGAGCATCCACAGTTACCGAGGCTGTGGCGCACAGGTAACGGAGGAGAGTCGCAACTGGACACAATGCACGATGCACCCCTGGCCTGACCAACCAAGCATCAACAACCGAAGGGCCCTCCAGAAAGCAGCAGTCCCATTCTTCATCAGAAAAAAAGGAGACGGCTGCAAACAAACGAATTGATTGCCAAGACCAAAGAAGCAGAAACCTCCATGCCAGAGAAGAGCATGGCGCTCCCCAACCTGACCCTTAGAGGCCAATGCCAACAAGAAAAAAGCCTTTGCAAAAACCCTGAACTGAAGGGGCCACCACAAGCCGAGGAGAAGAGAGAGAAAGGAGAGCATCCAGCCCAATGACCAGGATGGCTCAGGCAGCGCATGAGCAGGCCGGAGGTGAAACAATGCACTAGACAGCTTGTGAAACAGTGCAGACATAACATCAATGCTGAACGCAAGCTGCAGCGACTCCGCCAGCACTGCACGATATGAGACGACAGTATCCAGCACAAGATGACAGTCCTGGAACAACCACGAAAGGAAGGACAAAACAGCCTTATCAGAGACAGAATTAAACCTACGAATGGATAGGAAATAATGGAAGGACCACCAGGAAACTTCATACTGCCACTGAGATGAAGCATGCAGGAAGGACACCATCAATGAAACCACCTGCTCACCATACAAATGGTGATAGATTAGTCTCGGAGAGAAGACCGAACCAGCTACATAACAGACTGGCCTGATCTGCTGAAAGAGGTGGAGCTACAGGAAGACCCCTGGGTTTGGAACTGAGCAAGCAGCACCTGAAAACAAAAACTGGGCCACCCACCAACGGTGCCAGAAGGACTACTCTTCCTTGGAAGTTTCCAAGCGAGCTAGGACCTGGAGCAATAGTGAAACTGGGGAGGAAAGAGGTACAGGTAACCCCGCCTTGACCAGTCCTGCCTGAAGGCATCAACCTTGATGACCTTGCAGTCAGGGAAGGACGCCACATATACTGGGAGATGCCTTGACCCTGCCGACGTGAAGAGATCCTCCTCTGGGAGCCTGAACGTTCAGCAGAGGCAACTGAAAGAGTTGGCGTTGACTGCCCATTCCGTGGAAAGGGGAAGGAACTGAGACCGCCTGTCCACCAGGACATTAGACTGCAACGGGGTTCGGGGTTCCTCCCATTGTGGTAGGCTCCCCGAACATGAACAGCCAGGAGAGCAAAACCCAGAGAACTCAGCAGGCAAATCACCCAAAGCAACCACCCCCCAAAGAGCCAAGGACCATATCAAACCCCCATTGTTCAAGCATATGAACAACAGGGGAGCAGTTCAAATGGATCCAGATAGTTGATCCGTGAGCGACCCGAACCCTCCGAAGCAACAGCCACACACCCACGAACTCCCGCACCATGCAGTGAACCCGACAGAAGGACGGACCCCATTGTCCCTGGCTAGTCTGGTGAACTCTGGTTACAAAGCCCCAGCCAAGAGACGACGTGTCTGTGAACACATCGAGCAAGGGCTCGGGTAGGCACCAAGGCACTGAACCCCGAAAAACCCCAAGAGGAAGCCAGAGACGCAGGAACTGTCACAAGGCACCCGGAGGCCGAACCCAGCAATCATGAGAGAGGTGGAAGGGACGTCTTCAAAAGGAACCAGAATAGCCGATGATGCCAAACCTGATCTGATGGGTATATTGACTATCATGGCAAAGTTCAGGCTCCCACACAAACCCTCAAGCCACTGCCGCGTGACCCAGGAACCCCGCCAGTAACAGGCAAAGGCAGGACCGCAGCCGAAGTAGAGCCTCTGGAGGTAGAGACAAGGAAACGGTCCGAGAGTCCCACACAAGACCCAGCCAAGTCCAAACCTGAGAGGGAACCAGACAGGACTTCCCCAGCTCACAAGGAATTCGAACCCGGCGAGCTGGGAAAGAACCAACTCTCTGGCGAGCAGACACGCAGACCAGCTGGGAGCCCAAACCAGCCAGTCATTGAGGTAGGCCAGAACCTGAACCCCTAAAGAAGCAGAAGGCCCACCACGACCTGGGCAAGGCGTGTGAAAGTGTAAGGTAGTAGATTCAAGCCAAATGGAAGGCAACAAATTGGTAACCCTGATGCCCCCATAACAAAACCGAGCCAGTCCCTGAACCCTGAATAAATTGGGACATGCCAATATGCATCCCGGAGGTCTAGGGACACCATCAAAGCACCCAGCCCCAAAAGGAGATGAACCTGGGACAGGACAGAGTAGTTATCCAAAAGGAGGAGCAATAAACTCACTGGTTCAGACGGGACAAGTCCAGAATGAACCTGAGGTCTCCGCAGTCTCGTTTTGGAACCGGAAACAGGCGAGAAACTCACTAGAGGGATGAGGTCGTTTCAACCATGCCAAAGCAATGGGGGGGGGGGGACCAGACCAAACCACAGGAGGGGAAGGACAAGGGAACGTGGACGAAACCAAGGCCGAAGCAACTATCACCCCCAAGTCCAGGTCCCTATAAGCAAAACAGGGCAGCCTCGGGGCATCTGACTTTGGGACTCCCCCCCAAAAAAATATGTGCCAAAAAGAAGAAAGAAAAAACCCAGCATTGACTGTAATGAAATGCCATTTTCTCGGTGAGACCCAGAGGGTCCCCAGAGCTATCCAAGCTGATATGGATATATATTTGACTTTGGTATCAGTGTGACTAGAGTTCTAGGCCTACTAGGGGACCACGTATAGTTACATATCAGTCTGGATAGCTCCGGGAAGCCGAAGGGGTTCCCCCAGAAAAGCGAACTAAACCTTGGGAATAATCAAGCAGACCTCTATCTTCAAGGAAAAGAATGTAGTTGTTCAACTGTATAAGTCTCTGGTGTGCCCCCACCTGGATTATTGAATCCAGGCATGGAGACCTCATCTCCATAAAGACACAGCTGCTCTGGAGAAGGTGCAACACCGATCAACAAAAATCATATCAGAGCTTTGTCATCAAATTCAATTCAAAATTCAATTGTTTATTCAGGTAAAGTACATACATACAAGGGGTGATACAAATATTGATGAGTTTATAAATAGAGCTAGTACATACAATGCCTAACGCCACTACAGTATTATGAAAAGCGTTTCGGGCAGGAAAAACATTAAAGAGTAAAACTTAATACTAATTGAGATTAAAGTATAAAATGAGTTGAGGAAAATAAAAAAATAAAAAAGGGGGGAACATGGCAGAAAAACAGCAAAAATACAATTTGGTCGACAGACAGCATTGCTTCAAAATATCAGACATGGGTTGACATTATAGGGGGTAGTAAGGTAGGTTACATGGAGTTAATTAGGTAGTGCTTAGTTTTTATCTTAAACTGGTTGAGAGAGGTACAGTCTTTAACATGATTGGGAAGGTCATTCCACATTCTAGGTCCCTTGATTTGAAGAGCATTTCTAGTTTGATTAAGTCATACTCTTGGAATATCAAAAAGGTATTTGTTTCTGGTGTGGTGTTCATGGGTTCTGTTACAACCTTCAATGAAGCTTTTAAGGTCAGGATTGGCAGTACAATTCAGCGTTTTATATATATATATAAAATGTCTCAAGTCATCTCTCATATCAGGAGCGGTTGAGGGCCACCGGTCTGACAACACTGCAGACAAGACATAACAGGGCAGATCTAATAGAAACCTTCAAAATACTAAACAATTTGGACGATGTCAATCTGGACACTTTCTTCAGAAGGTTGGATGTAACACAAACGAGCAGCAACAGGTTCAAGTGCAACAAACCACAGTGTAGGACAGAAAAGAGGAGATGCTTTTTTCACCCATAGGATTGTAAACCCATGGAACCGCCTTCCCGCTGAAGCCATAAATGCCAAAACTCTGCTGGGTGTTAAAATACAGATAGAAAAGATCATCTGGGCATATGGGGGGACCTTTGGCATGCCGCCAGCTTCCTGTCCTCATCGACACCACTAGTATTAGTGGCCCTCTGGTAAATTCAGGTAAATATAACAACACTATAAAATGACAGGTGATTACACTGGTGAAGATATATGTCTTAAGTACTGATACTGGGGAAATTGGCAGTACAAGATACAGTGAGAGTTTGAAGCACAAGGTAAGCAACTATGAAGATGAAATTGGGTACTTTTTGGTTTTCCTTTTGAATAAGGCATAGGTTGGAATTTGACTAGGGAGGGAGTTCTATAGACTAGGTCCTTTTATTTGCATGGAGTGTTTGCACAGATTTTTTTTTTTTTTAGATATATACAAGAGTTGTTACATTCTTGTACAGCCACTAGTACGCGTAGCATTTTGGGCAGGTCCCTGGAATACGATCCCCGCCGCGAAGAATCGTTTTTACAACCAAGTACCCATTTTACTGTTGAGTTAAACAGAGGCTACAGTTAAGGATTTGTGCCCAGTAAATCCTCCCCGGCCAGGATACGAACCCATGACAAAGCGCTCGCGGAACGCCAGGCAAGTGCCTTACCACTACACCATTGAGACTGGTTTGAGTATGGTGATATCAAAGATATATTTATTTCTGGTGTGGCACTCATGGGTTCTATTACACCTATCAAGGAAAAGTTTCAAATCAAGATGAGCATTTAGAACCAAAGTTTTGTACATGTAAATAACACATGAGAAGGTGTGAAGTGAGTGTATGTTTAGCATGTTAGGGACTTAAACAGAAGGGGCTGAGTGTTATCTGAAGATAGAGTTTGTTATTGTCCTGATAGCAGATTTTTGCTGAGTGATGCTAGGCTTGAGGTAGTTTGCAGTGGTTGAACCCCATGCACAGATACCATAAGTAAGATAGAGATAGATTAATGCATAGTATAGTGAAAGGAAAGCAGAGTTAGGTACATAATATCTGATTTTAGAGAGTATACCAACTGTTTTTGAGACCTTTTTTGGCTGTGTTGTATGTCAGTGCTGAAGTTCAGTCCCTTGTCTATGTATAAGCCAAGGAACTTTCCTTCATTTATGGCTAATGTTAACATTGTCTATCTGAAGTTGAATTTGATTTGAAGATTTACTACCAAATAAAATGTAGCCAATCTTTTCTATGTTTAGTGTGCATTTGTTGGTTGACATCCATGAGTGGACTTTACTTTTAACTCTATATTTACAATATTATTTAGTGTGTGGGGGTTAGGGGTCAAAATAGATGAATGTAATATCTTAGGCAAATAATATAAGTTTAAGAATGTTAGAAAGATTTGGCAAATCATTGATGTATATAAGAAATAGGAGGCGTCCTAAGATGCTGCCCTGTGGCACTCCTACTGTTAATGGGAGAGTGGGGGAGGTTATGTTATTGATAGCTACATATTGGTGTCTGTCACTGAGATAGGAACGGATATAGTTCAGAGCAAGGTCTCGGATACCATAGTGGTGAAGTTTAAGGAAGAGGTAGTTATAGTTTACAGTATGAAAGGCCTTTCTCAGGTCAATGAAGAGGCCAATTGGGAACTCATTTTTGTCAAGGGCTGCACAGATTATATTAAGCAGACTAATAATGGCATCACTGGTACTCCATTGGGAATGGAAGCCAAACTGACAGGGACTAAATATGTTGAGTTTTACAAGGTAGAAATAGAACTGTTTGTAAATAATTTTTCAAATATTTTTTTAAAGTATTGGTAGATTTGATATTGGTCTGTAATTGTTTATGTCAGCTGTCTCGCCTCCTTTATGAACTGGCCTTAATCTTGATTTTTTAAGTATATCAGGAAAAGTATGACACTAGAGATTTGTTGAATAGCTGAGCTATGGGTGGTGCAAGGGCAGGGGCAGCACTCTTATATACCTTTAGATGGTATTTCACTAATGTTCCCAGCTTTGGTTTTTAAGTGAGGGAATACCTACAAAATTCTCAGAGGAATTGAAAGGGTAGACAAAGACAAATTATTTAGCATGGTAAAACCCGAACAAGGGGACACAGGTGGAAACTTAGTACTCAAATGAGTCACAGACATATTAGAAAGAATTTTTAAGTGTCAGAGTAGTTAACAAAAGGAATGCACTAGGCAGTGATGTGGTGGAGGTAGACACCATACACAGTTTCAGATGAAGGTATGATAGAGCCCAATAGGCTCAGAAAGCTGTACACAAGTTGATGGACAGTTGAGAGGCGGGACCAAGGAGCAGAGATTCAACCAACACAAGCACAACTAGGTAAACACTTTTCACTTTCACTTTTCACTGAATTTTCGCAAATAGAGTGGTAGACGGTTGGAACAAGTTAGGTGAGAAGGTGGTGGAGGCCAAGACTGTCAGTAGTTTCAAAGCGTTATATGACAAAGAGTGCTGGGAAGACGGGACACCATGAGCGTAGCTCTCATCCTGTAACTACACTTAGGTACAGTGGTACCTCGGAATGCGAGTGTCCCTGTATGCGAGTTTTTCGGAAGACAAGCAGGATTTCCTCGAAAAATATGTCTCGGAAGGCGAGGGTTACCTCGGGACGCGAGTTTGTTGATACGTGTACAGGCCGACCTAGCGCATGGTGGTTCGGCGATCGTCGCCCCTCCACCCCTCAGTTTACCATTGTCTCGCGCCCAGTGACTACCCCACATCAATTCTTCTCGCGGATTTTCAGTGTTTTGTTGGATTTTTGGTGATTTGACTATACAATTTGTTATTATATATCTCACCATGGGTCCCAAGAAAGCCAGTGGTAAGGATAAAGGCCAGAAAGCCCATGTGAGGATGACAATAGAGGAGAAACAAGAGATCATTCGGAAGCATGAGAACGGTACACGTGTTGTTGAACTTTGTAGGCAGTACAACAAAGCCACATCAACAATATGCACTATACTTAAGAAGAAAAATGAGATTATGAGTGCTAAAGTGACAAAAGGAGTCAGAACAATAACGAAACAAAGACAACAAATACTTGAAGTGGAAAAGTTGTTATTAATTTGGATACACGACAAGGAGTTAAGGGGTGACAGTGTTTCGGAGGCCATTATTTGTGAGAAAGCCAGGGTTTGGACAGATTTGTGGTGAGGAAATCGAGCAGTGAGCCTCAACCAGGACCTAGTGGCACTCAGATAAAACGTCCCAGGGAGAGCACACCAGAAAGGTCTTCACTGCCTGATGTGATAATGGAAGGGGACTCCCCTTCCAAACAGTAACTCCTCTCCTCCTCCCCCCTCCTCACCATCTTCCATACGCCTACAGCATTCAACAGCAAGGTAAGTAATAACTGGAACATAGTTTTGTAGGTTTATTTAGATGAATTAGGTATAAAAATTTAGTTTGATGTGGGGTTTTTGGGGTACAGTAGTCAGGAACGGATTAATTCATTTCCCTTTATTTCTTATGGGGAAATTAACTTCGGAATGCGAGTTTTCGGAATACGAGGCGTCTCCAGGAACCAATTAAACTCTTAAACTGAGGTATGCCTGTAATTACTTGTCTAGAAAATCTTGAATGCCTAGAAGCAGGTGACTCATTGAGCTCAGACAAGTCTGATATTAGACAAAGGACTGTTAGTTGTTGACATATTCTCCACAGTTCCTGTGGTGCTGTCAGCTTGATGGAGAATTTGTTGCTTTGATTATTTACTTTCTGTAAACAATACAACTGACAGTTTTGCTTTGTTTTCTTTCTGGGAGATTGTTTACTCAGTGAGGGGTGATTACAAGTCTCCTGCTTCCTGCACCTCTGTGAGAGGAGGGGCCAGGTTTTGGCTTCTGGTTTCAATAGGCTTCTAAGGACTCCAGGAGCCAGATTCACAAAGCAGTTTTATGAATCTGTACATCTTTTCTCAATCTTTGGCGGCTTTGTTTGCAATTATTAAACAATTCATGAGCGCCGAAGCATCAGGAGCTGTTTATAACAATAACAACAGTTGACTGGGAAGTTTTCATGCTTGTAAACTGTTTAATAAGTGTAACCAAAGCTTTCAAAGATTGAGGAAAGAGGTACACGTTCATAAGTACTTGTATAACTGCTTGGTGAATCTGGTCCCAGGCTTCTAAGTGTTCAAGGGCTTGACTATCAGGGCCTGAAGGCTTCCCAAGTAGAAACCCCCATACATTGGGGCCACTCACTGGAAACAGTCGCCAAATGCAGCTAAAACAACCAGGCTACAAATGGTGACTGCAGCACACTACATAAACAAACACACAAACTCCAGTATAATAAAAAAAATGCCCCCAGACAAGGGGATCATTCTAAATGAAGGAATCAAAGACTTGCGATTACCCAAAGGCGAGGCTCTCCACCCCAGTGGCCTGGGCTCTTGAGGGCCAACTCCCGGGCATACCAGAGCACACAACTCTGACTACACACCCAGGGGCGTCTAGGGAAGAAAACCCCGAGAGCATATACAACCTAAAATACTGTATAATGAAAGCCAAGCCCACACAATGAGCCTGATAGAAAACATGCATGTGAAGCTAACACTAAAATAGAGAACATAACAATAAGCAAAAGCCCCTCACAGAATGAATAAAGTCCAAGGATGACCAGCACTTAGCTTGGATAAACTTAGCATGTCCAAGGATGACCAGCACTTAGCTTGGATAAACTTAGCATGTCCAAGGATGACCAGCACTTAGCTTGGATAAACTTAGCATGTCCAAGGATGACCAGAAAGTGGATAGGCTTTGCAGAATTGTTTGGTGGTTTTGAGGTTTAGTTTTCTGTAAAGCTTCACTGAAGACTTTCTCTGATGTGGGGTTGTGAATTGTCACTCGCTCCCTGTACCTCTATGAGGGGACCAGGTTCTGGTCCCTGGTAGAGCAAACATAACTTCCACAATTGATGTGACTTTCAGTATGAAGCAATTTCAAGAAGATAGCTTCAGAGGGGCCACCAGGGGGTTTCCCCAGAAAACATTACAATAAATTTATAAATGATATCATTGTGTAGTGAATGAATACTACTTCCCACCCACCTTTGATTTTCTGAATGCTCTCACAACTTGATCTTGTCCTTGAGGAACATCTAGAGTCTATTGTGGTAGATGGAGAGACTGTATCATCCTCACTTGTCAACTCGGAGGAGCATGTAAGGGTCACTTTCGGAGTACGATTATTATTACTGGAACAATTTGGAGAGAGGTTTGTTAGAAGTTCAATAACAGAATCCAAATCTGTGGAAGCAGTCCATTGATGCTGACCTTCTCTTTGATTGTCTCGACTTTCCTCAGGTACAGTGTCTTGATTTTCTGGAATATTTTAATACAGTTTACACAGTTGCGTTACAGCTGGGACATCCAATAATGCAGTATGTCACTCTAATTAATGAAAACAAAATTACATTGGTTGGTTTTGGACCAAACACAGTAATCAGAGCTTCAGCTCAATATGACCTGTAAGTCAAAAGATATGGGTAAGGTTATTTTGAGGCAGGTATCAATAACTGCTGATATGACTGATAAGCAAATCTGTACATTTTAAATCAGCAAAATGAGAGGGGTTCTAAATGTGTCAAATTTTTGTACATCAGATCATTCAAAGCTCTTTTATACTGAAGTTAAAAGATGAAGTTTTGACCCTAAAGTCCTGTAAATTAAAAATATTAACAAAACATAATTTGGAGTGCTCTCAATCACAATCATCAGGAATAATAATGACTTGTCAACACTAAAGTCACTAAAGATGGCTGTCCTTAGGTAAATTCAGGTACAAAAGAAACTTTAGTACTAACCCTGACTTTCAACTCTTTCCAGAGGGATGAAAATGAGCCCAAGAACCTGAATTTAAAAATGTCTTTGACAGTCCCCAGATCTGATAACATTAATGTAAACTCACCATGCAAAGAAGGGAATCCAGTACAGTATATGAAATTTTCTTCCTAATGAAGCAAAGAATTGCTCAATCTATAACTTATTCAAAATTAAAGCAGAGAAACTCCTATAATTGAGAGGGTTCCAGAAGTACAGTTGGGTTCGTTTTCAACTCACAATCGAGAATTCTGGGTTCAAATCCTAGGTGGCACAAAAATGGTTCGGTGCATTTCCTTTCACTTAATACTCCTGTCCACCTAGCAGTAAATAGGTACCCAGGAGTTAGTCAGCTTGTTGTAGGGTTGCAACTTAGGTGGGGTCAGTAATTCGACCCTGGGAGGGGGGGGGGACCTCGGTATAAGCCTAACGTGTACTGTTTGAATAACTTGGCTTCCTGTTCCCCAACACAATGAATTATTACATTTTTTACTTCTGATATTTGTCAATGGTATGTAAACTACATTATTAAATTACAACCACCCACGAACTTTGTGCTGCTAACACATTCATCATGCCTGAGCTCAGCATTCCACTTCAGCTGATTTTTCAGACATCCCTGTGTACAGGAGTCATAGCAGATGCATGGAAAAAGGCTAACATAGTTCTAATCTACAAAAGTGGCAGCAGGAAAGACCCCCTCAATTATAGACCTGTATCATTGACACGTGTAATAGTCAAAATATTGGAAAAAATAATTAAAACTAAATGGGTGGACCACCTGGTGAGAAACAATATAGTATCAGACAGACAGTATGGTTTTCGATCTGGAAGATCCTGTGTATTGAATTTGGTCAGTTTCTATGATCGAGCCACAGAGATTTTACAGGAAAGAGATGGTTGACTTGACTACATCTATCTGGACCTAAAAAACCAGCGTTGAATGTAATGAAACGCCATTTTCTGGGTGAGCCTCGGAGGCTCCCTGGAGCTTATCGGGCTAATGTACTTTATATTAGACTGGGACATTATCTGTGCAGTTCAGACCTACCAGGGACCAGTGCCAGAACCTGGCCCCCTTCAGAGAGGTTTCAGGGAGCAATGGCCTTGGAAAACCTGTGGTTTGGGGGTTTTTCTTATCTGCCATCGACTGGGGTTAGGCACCCAGAAAGGTAGGCATAACAAAACAAACCCCACATGGTAAGAAACTAAAACAAAAAAACGAACAAAGAGGTAGAAACTCCCTACAATCCCAAAGAAACAAGCAAATATCACACTTTACTGCCCGCCGCTCATCCGCGCAGCCCTCCCCTTTCCGAGAGGAGGGGGGGGTCCAGGACCTCACCGCGCCGGCTGCATAGCACTCCAGTTCGGAAGCTAAGCTTCAAGCAACGCGAAAAAAACGCTGACCTGTGGGAGGGAGGGTTGCCAGGGAGCCTCTGGGGCTCACCCAGAAAAATGGCATTTTATTACATTCAATGCTGGTTTTCTGTGGGGGAGCCCCTATGGTTCCCTGGAGCTACATACCCAAAGAGAAAGAAATAAGGACTTACCCGGGAGACAGCTGCCACAAACTCCTCAACGTGAAGTCGAGACAACTGGCTGCAACCTGCAATCCAAAGCAACACAAGAACACCCAGGAGAAGGCACGTTCACCAAATAGCGGGCGGCCAGGACTCTGTTCGATCGCCAAAATCCACGCTCTCAAATATGAGCTCAAGACATGTTACCAAACATGGCAGCCAAAGCTGCAAAATTCTGGACGTCATGGGCGTGAGGATAGACCACAGGCTGGCTAGAATTAATAACCCTGCAGACAACCTGGAAGACCCAAGCCCTGGAACAGGAAACGAGGGAAACCGGATCAACCCAAAGCGCATCCCCATCCACCCCAGCCGAGGCGCGCAGGTAATGGCAAAGAGCTGCAACCGAACACAACACATGATGCACCCCTGGCCAAACCAACCGAGCATCAATGACCAGAGGACCCCTCTGGAAAGCAGCCATCTCGATCTTCGCCAGAAAAGACAAAGAAGGCTGCAAACATACAAACCTACCCCCAGGACCAAAAGAGCAGAAACCCCTGTGTCGGAGGATAGCATGAAGCTTCCCTACCCGACCCCCAGAGGCCAATGCCAACAAAAACAGGGCCTCGGAAAAACAATCTTGGACCGAAGGAGCCATCACAAACCGAGGAGAGAACTGTCCAAGGACCAGGACGGCTCAGGTGGCTCATGAGCAGGCTGGAGGTGAAACATAGCACGAGAAAGCTTACGGAATGGGGCAGATGTGACGTCCACCCTGAAAGCAAGCTGGAGCGGCTCCACTAGCTCCACATGATACGAGGCGACAGTATTAGGCATCAAATGACGGTCCTGAAAAAGCCAAGAAAGAAAGGACAAGACAACCCGATCCGAAAGAGAAGACAACTTACGAAGAACAAGAAAATGGCAAAAAGAACACCAGGAAACTTCATACTGTCGCTGAGATGAAGCTTTAAGGTGGAACACCATCAACAAAGCCACCTGATCACCATAGAAATGGTGATACACTCGCGTCAAAAAGACCAGACTCAAAGAGCAGTGGAGAAGGTCGAACCAGCCCCGTACTGGACCGGTCTGACCTGCTGAAATAGGTGGAGCTGTGGGAAACACCCCAGGTTCAGACACCGAGCAAACAGCACAAAAAACAGTTAAAAATTGCAAACCAAAAGCCGAGCTAACAAGCAGACGTACCAAATCGAAAACAAGAAAACAAGCATGACGTCACCACAGTTTCTGCTCAGCTGTCTGCGCAACTTCCCCCCTCCCTGGAAGGGGGAAGGGGGGCCCTGGACCTCGGCACTGGCCATTCCTACTCAGTTCGGTGGCTGTTGTGACTGGTGACACTCGTCGACTCTGGGTCCATCCTTCTGAGCTGTGCTGCAGAGGGGTGTTGTTCTTCTGTGTTGATGGTTTGCAAGCCAGGAGTAACAAGAGTACTGGGGTTGCATGCACCTAGGGCCACTTTTCCTAGGTACCCTATAAGTACTGCTCCTGTGGCCTAGGGTTATTTTCCCTGAGCCATTCGGGAACTACCTCCGTGAGGTTCTGTGGCCGCTCGGTGATTGCCCACCCTTGGGATTCAGCTGGGATGGTTCTATGGTTCTTACTTCTGCTTGCCCTTGGGTAGGAGGTAGTTTCGTTGCTGGCTGGGGCATATGGTACTGTGCAGCTGTCTGATGTATGCATAGCAACCAGTTCTGTTCACCTGGAGACATTGTGCTTTTGCAGGTTTTTTTTTTGTTTTGTTTTGTTTTGTTTAGTGGGGGTCTGCCTGGTGTAGCTGTAGGACCACGTGTATGATTTTGGTGGCCCTCCACTAGGTTTCCGTGCTTGCACATGTCGCAGGGGTTCAGTTTTTAGTTTGTTTACTTGTTTGGTAGCTCTGGGATAATCGATAGCAGTACCTCGCCTGGGCTTCCCTTAGCAGTCATCCCTAAGGGCCCTGGAAACCCTCATTGGGGCTCTTTGGTCCGATGGAGGAGACATCTTGAGTCCCACCTCACTTTGTGCGAGTCGAAAGGTTGCTCTGTCCCCTTGTCTCAGGGTGACACTCATCGTTTTTGCCTCAGTCATGCTGCCTGTTGGGTCAATGACACCTTTGACCCGAAGTCTTACGAGTGGTGTTCCTTGCTTGTTCTCAAATTCACCTAGTCCACTGAGATTGATATTTGGATGCAGGCAGTTTCAGAGGTGCATGTGCGGTTTAGGTTCCTGCAATGTTCAAGGTTGCTTGCCTTTCCGGATGCCCCGCAGCTGCCCCGTTTTGGTTATAGAGACCTGCACTAGGGGGTTGTTAGTCGCCTCATCTCTGGTTTTTGTCTGCACCCCCTACTCTTTCCCCTGCTGTGGTTCATCCTGCTCCCAGCTCCCCAAGCGTCTGAGGGATTTTGGAGGCAGGGCAGGGGTTGCCGGGTTGTGAGACTTGGGTGGCTTCGGGGATTGTCCCTTCCGGATTGGCGGCAGAGGCATTCGAGCCTGTTCCTACTGCCAGAGCTTTGGGTCTCACCAGCGGGCCCCTTTCATCCCTGCTTTTCCTGTGGACTCTGCTTTTTCTACAGAGGCAAAGGGTTTGGAGGGCGGCTTGGCCCCGGGTTCTGATGTGGAGAATACCACGGCTGGGGCGGAGTTGATTTGCAGGGCTTGGGCCCTATTTGACCCCACTTGGGTCAAATTGGTACTCCCGGCGAGGAGCTTGTTGTTACAGGTGGAGGGGTTTTCGTATTCCCTCTCCCAGTATGATTTTGATATGAGTTCGACTCCTTCCCAGACTCGGTTCCAGGTTCCCTTGGGTTCTTCGGTTCCTTCCTTCTGGAGGTTTTTGGCTTCCCGCATCAAACTGAAGGAGGTGCGGGAGGCCCTTGCGGCTTACCTCCTCTGAAACCCAGATTACGCCTCGATAATGGATCCTTCTTCTTCTGAGTTGTCTTCTCTTTCTCTTACTAGGTGTGTTACGAGATG